GCTATTTTCTAAACCCTGCTTTGTTACATCGGTTGCCTCGAAACGGTTAATAATTCGCCTCTCTTTGATCGTGGTGAAGCATTTATATTCTCGCTGTATGAGGCGAACGGGTCTTTCATTATTCAAATCGGTATCCTCCCCCGTTTTAAACAGTATGATTGAGAGATATAATTCCACGATTGAGGTATTATCAAATCGGTTCGCTTGTGTTCCCTACAGCTTGACTCGCTTAATCCTTCTGCTCCGAGACCTCTCCACGCGTTCCGTCTCGCGGAGGGCAGCAGCTGCTTCTGTTTGTGTCACAACTTGAATACCCCCTCGCTCTCGTCTCGAGAGAGAGAGAAGAGAGAGACGGCTCTCCTCCCGACGATGCGTTTTTGTCGTCGCTGTTGCGATCTGCAATGGAATCTTCCTGCTCCACCCGTCCACCCACCGTGGTTCCTCTTCGCGCTGCTAAGGCCACCGCTGTCATTGACCAATCAGTGATTCTCTCCGCTGTTGCTGCTGCCCTGTTCACGGGCCTGTTGTCTCCGTGGCATCTTTAATTGCGCTTTGTGTAATCTCGTGTCCGTTCTCGGGTTACAGTTCGGGGCCGTCATTCATTCCAATGTCGAGCAGTGCGACACTGTGGGTGCGCTAGCGACGCCGCACGTGCGCTCGCGATGCTTTGTGAGAAAGGACTTCTCCTTTGATCGAACCAGATAACCGGATAAAGGGCCGTCCATAAATGACGTCACGCACCTGGGGGGGGGGGTGGGGGTGGTCAGACATTTGTGACGATGTGTGACGAGGGGGGGGGGGGGTTATTTGAGAAATGTGACGTCGCATCCAAATCCGCAACTTTAAATAAATATAGACAACACGTTCTACTTAATTAAATATACTTTTTTTTAAATAAACGTGTTCTCCTACAACATCAGAGTGCAGCGCCACATTAAATACGCTTAAGACGCAGTCCGCATTGTCATACCTCCTGGGCTCGATGTTTGATGTCGGCCTGTAATTAGCCATTCTCACGCCGGGCTCTGTTGAAGTGCCACTCGCATCTCGATCACCGCGTGTGCGTCACTTGTGCGCAGCGGATTCAGTCGAGTGGCCACTTCGCGCGCACACACAGGTTGCCCATAGAGCTCGCGGGCTTACGAGGAGTTAATGGCATCGTAGCGACAATAGATTTACGTACTTTACCTCTGTTACCGCGTCTATGTTCCCTGCCTTCGCCAACCCCACACAATCCGTACGGCACGAGGGGGCAGTGCCCGATTAAGCTAGTGCGGGGCCTGTAACATATGTTATAAAGGGCCCTAAATTTAAAAAACGTAAATATTAAAACACGTACTTTTTTTACTTGCATAGTTAAGTAATTGCATGTTTTCATTTGCTATACAGCCAGATAATATGACAAATCGCTAACCTTAAACACCCAGTTGTTCATAAAAGTTGAAGGCAGTATTGTACTATAGCAATAGATCAAGTGCAGAATCACTAAACCGGAATTGATCGTTTGAAATAATTTAGCGCGGGGCCCTTGAAAGTGCGGAACCCGTAGCTACTACACGTGTCGCTACTACTTACTACATATGTATCTACTTTTGCTACGAGGATTATCCGGCACCGGTGGGGAGCGGGGGAGGGGAGGGGGCTGGGCGGTTGCGGGTCCTCATCCAGTCGTGGGATGTGACTGAGTAAATGTGATGTAACGTGATTTCCACGTGATTTAATGGCGGAGTGTCGTCTCCGCCTTCCACCTGAACAACAGACAAGTTTCGAAAACGGTGAACGTTAACTTCTGCGGGGCGAAGCTAAGGCATGACGAAACACCCTCGGTGTATCTAGGAGTTACCCTGGATCGGACGCTTAACTGCCACCACCACCACCTCAAACAAGCTAAAGGTGAACTGAAAGCACGAGTGAATATTATTCAAAAACTTGGCAGGAAAAACCTGGGGAAGCAATGCCAGCACGTTGAAGATTATCGATGCGCAGACCCTTGTTCACTCCACTGCGGAGTTCTGTGCCCCGGTGTGGGGTGCAAGCCCCCCCCCCCCCCCCCCCCCACGAACCTTGTCGACGCCGAAATTAACAAGGCGCTTCGTATCATCAGCGGTTGCCTCAAGTCTACTCCACTCCCGTGGCTTGCTGTGCTGGCGACGACACCGGAGTACAACAACGAGATCATGAAGAACTTCACTCTGCCGCTCCATCAAGATCTAAAGGAACTCTTTGGTTATTTCGGTAAAGTCACGTGGGTATACAATACAATAAATTAAATCACGACGTTTCGGGCGCAACACAAGCGTCCGTCATCAGGTGGGACAACCACAGCAAGAAACAATTGCTTCAGCGGGGCCACACTGAACCGCGCTCGAACACGACACGGCAGATGTGCGAACACTTTACATGAATGGAAGATCAAATAATCGCCCAACTGCGACTGTGGAGAAGTCAAAACCATCAAGCACGTCACCAATGAATGCTCCATCCATGCACATCGTGGCAGTATCACTGAAATCCACACTGCGTCAATCACATCATTGGACTGGATGAGGAACCTTTGCATTCATTTATGGCGATCAAAAAGAAAAATTGTAAACTGTTGCATTTCACAATGCCATACGACAGAAGAAGAAGACAACACATTTATACTCACGCGATCTTACCCAAAACACCTTTATTATGAATAATATTTCGATTGCAGGGTTTCATCTTCTTGGTTCTTTCGGTAAAAAGACAGCGTCCAAATGACACGCTGTCTTTCCAACAGCCCTGTTCTTCACCAGAGGACGGCTGCTTACATTGTGGCCGAAACGTCGTGAGAATTTTATTATGTTTTATTATTACTTTATTATTTCCCTTCTACGTGACTTTACCGAAAGAACCAAGAAGATGAATAATATTGGTCGCGAAAGCCGACGTGTTAAACGCGAAGTTTGAGTTTGCCTCTGATTCAAGGTGCGCTGCGTTGAACTCGCTGCTCTGTCCGTAGAGTGACCGTGATGGCGGTACCCGTGTTATCTCGGCCAGCTCTCCCTTGTGAAAACAAAGGTGCAATTCGAATTGGCCTCTTACGATTGTGGTGGTGGTTTGTATAATTATCAGCGTTATTTTTGTTTCTCTTGCAGTTTATACAAATTCGCTATACAGGCCACGTAGCGGTGCAATGTGCACCTAAAGTGTGTGTCTGTGTATATATGCCTAATTTACTGGCGCACACACTACACCGAGAATATACGCATACAGTCACACGATTATGCAAATCGTCCGCATCATACGCATGTGCGGTTTGGCAGCACAAAGTAAGTTCCGTTTGTGCGCCCGAGTGGTTATCGCTCCGTATCGCGTGGATTTCTCCGGGAATTCCAAATTCCTCCCACATTTACCAACTACGCACAAATGTAATTTGTCCAAGCCTCCCGAATGCAGGCAGCACCCTCCTCCTGAACAGATCTCGAGGATCACGCAACGAAGGAAGGGCATTATTAGCGGCAAGTAAACATCGCCCAATGCTCACTGTGCCGTGCTGGCCTTCATAGGTGCTCGTTAACAGCACTTGCCTCTACTCTTTGGTTCTTTCGGTAAAGTCGCGTATAAAGATAAAATAATAAATTAAATAATAGCATACGACGTTTCGATTGCAACACAAGCAATCAACTTCGGGTATAAATGAAATAGCAACAAAAATCTAACCAGAAAACTATAGACAGGCATATAAGCAGACAGATATCACCAAGATACATAGAGAGAGCGAGAGTAACATGTCTGTCTATAGTTTTATGGTTAGATTTTTGTTACTATTTCATTTATTCCTGATGATGATTGCTTGTGTTGCAATCGAAACGTCGTATGCTATTATTTAATTTATTATTTTATCTTTATGCGTGACTTTACCGAAAGAACCAAACAGTAATTCCTGCAGTCACGAAAGCTCCAAATTTAAGATAGCACTTGCCTCATTAGTCCCTGTTTGGGCTATAAATGTGGGTCTTTATCTCGGCTTTAAATACTCCCCGGGACACCCGGGTGGGTGGATCGTGCAAAGATCACCGCGCGCTCTGAGATGCGCGACCTCATGCAGGGCCCGATACAGGAATTGCATCACCCAGGATCAATCTTTGCACGATCCACCAACCAGGGCACAGGTGCACACGTGGCTGGGAACTCACGCACGGCTCCGGCAGACCGAGCTGTGTGTTACCTGCGCTGGCTGCACGCCGCGGGGGTGAACATTTGGGCACCCAACGCGAATGTTTCTAATCATTAATCCGGTCAACAAAAAAACATAGTTGCATGTGTGTGATTTACTACCTAACTGTGTCCAAACAATCCCTTCCGCATTTCATTTAATTGAACGGACATCTGGAAACGCTGTAATCCAATGTTAATGCACCCATCATTAACACAAAGGTAAAACAAACATTGTTAAAAAAAATGTACAATGATATATCATCATCGATTGAGCAGAGGCGATACACGCCACGCGTGGCCGCTTAGTGCATGCGGGATGATCTTGCCAGGGTCTCCCAAACTCCGTCACCACCGCTCGCCTAACCAGGTGCACTCGTCGTCTGCGTTCACATGCAAGGTCGCCGCTACACGCTGCACATGCCTCATAACTATTAGATGGTCATTTGTATCGGGTAAGACGACGGTTCTGTTTAGAATGAGAGGATGTTTTTGTTTGGGATGGAAGGAAGGTTATTTTTAGGATGAGAGGAGGGTTCTGTATGGGAGGGGATGAGAATTCTGTATGGGGTGAGAGGAGAGTTCTATATGGGATGGGGTGAGAGTTCTGTATGGGATGGGGTGAGGGTACTGTATGGGATGGGGTGAGAGTTCTGTATGGGATGGGGTGAGGGTTCTGTATGGGATGGGGTGAGAGTTCTGTATGGGATGGGGTGAGAGTTCTGTATGGGATGGGGTGAGGGTACGGTAGAGGGATGAGCCGTTCCGTGGTTGCTAAATCCCCCCCCCACAACCCTTTTCACTCTTTGCGCTCGCAGCCCCCAACATGTCACGTGACCTGCAGCACTCCCCCATGGACCTGCGGCTGACGCCCCCGGGGCGAGCGATGAGAGGAGGACACCTGGGCGGAGCGCTCGCCACCCTGGAGAAGCGAGGCCTCCTCGCGCCGCCAGGGCACTTCCATCCCGACGAGATCCCAGACCTCTTCTACCCCTCGGGCACCCATGGTCTCTTTCCTCCCTCGGGCAGCGTCGGTGCCGGCGTGCCCCCGCGCTTCCCAGGTGCCCTTGGGGCCCCGAGGCGCCGCTACATATCGTTCATGGTGGAGGAGATCCTGAAGGGCGACAGCGACGGACGGGAGAGCGAGGACGACTCCTTCGTGGACTTGGCGACATCGGACAGACGCAAGTACGACAACAACAACAAACAATACAGGGACGGCAATGACAACACAATAACAGCAGAAACACGGGTGCCGCGGGGCTAACGATGGGGGGGGGGTCTCTGCGGGGCTGCAAGTCAGCGCTTTGGAGGCGAGAGGTTTGATGGATCACGTAAAGATTTGTGAAACTCACAAACCCCGCTGGGTGTGCGAGGTTGATAGAAGGCGGCAGTACAGCAAGCCGAGCCCGTTAGTGTTGTTATCTCATCGTGTAGCATTGGCGGGATTTCTCCGAACACTCGCTTCAGTGTCCTCCGACAAATGGGCAAAAAAACGAATTCCTCGTTTTTAAAAAGGAATTGGACAAACATCCCCATGCAGGACCCTCTTGAAAGAAGCCTTGAGATCAGTGAAGGACACGGGTCGTTGTTGAACATTATCAGACGCTCGTTTGTAATTCACGGCTTTACAGAGGCGGATCGAGAAACGCCAATAAATAATGCATTGGCGGGGTTTAAATGGTAACGGGGAGGTAAGGGGGAGGGGCAGAGGTGGCGATGCTCCACCCCCTGAAGACTAAGCCCCGCCCCCTGAAGACTAAGCCCCTGCTCCTGCCGACTAAGCCCCGCCCCCTGACGACTAAGCCCCGCCCCCTGAAGACTAAGCCCCGCCCCCTGAAGACTAAGCCCCACCCCCTGACGACTAAGCCCCGCCCCTGAAGCCTAAGCCCTGACGACTAAGCCCCGCCCCTGAAGACTGAGCCCCGCACCCTGAAGACTAAGCCCCGCCCCCTGACGACTAAGCCCCGCCCCCTGAAGCCTAAGCCCCGCCCCCTGAAGACTAAGCCCCACCCCCAGAACAGAGCCATGCTCTGTTCGTTCCAGTTACTCACCAAAGACAAATACACAGATCCCCCGTCTAGCCTAAACAGACTTTTTGGGCAAGTGCTCATCGCGAGCACCTATTAAGGCGTGAACGACACACGATGGTGGCCAACACCCCACGCCCGACCGCCTTTGTCTCCTTTAGTGGCGATATTTACACATCATACCAGGTACTCATTTGAGGATGAGTCAACCTAGGGGAGGCTCAGGGTCGGTTCAGATAAACGTCACTGGCGTTGGTCGTGAGCGGGCTTAGAACTTGGGTCGCTGGGTTCGTAGTGCGGCACGCTAACCGCTGCACCACCGCTCCAGAGATTCATCTTCTTGGTTCTTTCGGTAAAGTCACGTAGAAGGGAAGTAATAGAATAATAAAAATAAAAATATTATGTTTTATTTTTATTATTTTATTATTTTATTACTTCCCTAAAGTCACGTATGTTTTATTTTTATTATTTTATTACTTCCCTTCTACGTGACTTTACCGAAAGAACCAAGAAGACCTGAAGAGAGATAATGCTCGTGAATCTGTTCCCAAGCTCCGTTCGTGTAGGAAATTATTATTTGCTAAGTACACAAATCGTCAAATAATATTCCTCTACTCACGGGGCGGCCACGGTGAGGTGACGTCACCTTCCTCGCCTGCTACTCAGGAGGTCGGTGGTTTGATCCCGACCCCGACGGCTGCTCTCACCGTGGTCGCGTGGATTTTTTTCTCAAGGCTCCTCCGCTTTTTCCCCTTCACATTTCGAAACATGCGTTTTAGATTATTTCGATTATTTTTCTGCGAAACATTCGCACGCGATGAGCCGCTTCGTTGAGTTACCATTTGTGGCCAAGTTGCTTCTGTAAAAAAAAAATTAATCGCTAAAGTGAGCTTTTTCTGGTAAGATGTAAAAAAAAGTTTATTTTTTATTTTATTAAAATAAAACACGATAGGAGTGCAAAGTATAGGCAAGGTAAGCATACAAACTTAAAAAAATAAAAAATAAAAACTTTTTTTGGTGATTTGCTTACCTTTCTTATCCTTTGCACTCCTGTTATGTTGTTGTACTTTTTGTTGTTGTTGTACTGTTTGTTTGTTGCTGTACTGTATGTTTGTTGTTGTACTGTTTGTTTGTTGTTGTACTGTTTGTTTGTTGCTGTACTGTTTGTTTGTTGTTGTACTGTTTGTTTGTTGCTGTACTGTTTGTTTGTTTGTTGTACTGTTTGTTTGTTGCTGTACTGTTTGTTTGTTTGTTGTACTGTTTGTTGTTGTTGTACTGTTTGTTTGTTGTTGTACTGTTTGTTGTTGTTGTACTGTTTGTTTGTTTGTTGTACTGTTTCTTGATGTACTGTTTGTTGTTGTACTGTTTGTTTGTTGTTGTACTGTTTGTTTGTTGTTGTACTGTTTGTTTGTTGTTGTACTGTTTGTTTGTTGTTGTACTGTTTGTTTGTTGTTGTACTGTTTGTTTGTTGCTGTACTGTTTGTTTGTTGCTGTACTGTTTGTTTGTTGCTGTACTGTTTGTTTGTTGCTGTACTGTTGTTGTTGTACTGTTTGTTTGTTGATGTACTGTTTGTTGCTGTACTGTTTGTTGTCACTTAATGACCCGCCCCGACTGGACATCTGTGAAGACGAGCTTTACAGCTCCATCGGATTCCTCCAAAATAAAAGAAAGATCCTGATTCTGGATACGCATGCCATCTGCAATTGCTACATTTTAGCCAATGGAGGGAACAGAGCAAACGATAGAAACGAGGAGAAAGAGAAGCGGTTCTTGAACAAAATTGTGGTGGCGGTGCCGTGCAGCGTCAATCAATAATTGCGGCGTGCTATACGAGCAACGAATTGGCATGTGTTGGTTACGTGACAAACTTACTAACTGGCTGTGTCGGGTGTTGGCAGATTTAACGACGCATTTATATTAACGCGATCAATCCTTAAAAAAAACACCTCGTGGATAATATTGGCTCGCGAAAGCGCACGTGTTTAAACCGTGTCAATGAAGTCTCTGCGCGGAGAAGCGGGTCTATCGTTCCACCCTTGCAGTCCGTGTCCGCGACGATTGCAGTCGGCATTGCTGTGACCGCGACTTGCTCGTCTGACTTCAGGCAGAAGCGACCCCTCCTCACGAGGGATGCGGAGAATCACGACGTCATGGTGGAGTTCAACTTTGACCCGAGGGACGGTGAGTTGATGCTCACCCAAGTGACCACCGCGTTTAAAGAGGGCAACGGCGACGTTGTTAGACGCAGCGAGCCGCCGGGTGACGTTAGCGATGCAGCAGCACGAGCCTCGACTCAGCGGCTCGTAACAAAACCGCCAGACATGGTCACGAAATCGTGACGCATCGCGACGAATTGCCGTGCCGTTCACTACAGGTCATTTGCACGGTCATTTACATTTCACCGATGGATGTGTGTCTGTCCCTGATAGTTGGTATAATTTAATGGCCTTTAATTGTAAAATGTATTTATAACAACGCAATAGAAACTCGATTGTGACCATCTGACGTCACATTCAGCGTGGAAGCGCTTCAACGAATCGAGAGCCGCGGAAGAGATGCGCGTGGTCATCGTTGTGGTGATTGCCCATTCTCCGCGAGTGCTCCTAACTCTCTTCCCGCCTCTCCCTGCCACTCCCTGTCACTCTCCTGTCACTCCCTGTCACTCCCTGTCACTGTCACTCCCTTCTTCTTCTGTCACTCCCTGCCCTCTCCCTTCCTCTCCTGTCACTCCCTGTCACTCCCTGTCACTCCCTGTCACTCCCTGTCACTCCCTGTCACTCCCTGTCACTCTCCCTGTCACTCCCTGTCACTCCCTGTCACTCCCTGTCACTCCCTGTCACTCCCTGTCACTCCCTGCCTCTCCCTGCCCTCTCCCTGTCACTCCCTTCCTCTCCTGTCACTCCCTGGCCAGCTCCCGTGACAGCTCCTGTCATCTCCCTGTCTCCTGCCTCCTGCCATCTCCCTGCCCTCTCCCGGTCGACTCCTCCTCTCCTGTCACTCCCTGTCTCTCCCTGTCACGTCCCTGCCCTCTCCCTGACTCATCCTGTCACTCCAATGTCTCTCCCTGTCACTCCCTGTCACTCCGTGTCACTCCTGTCACTTCTCCCTGCCCTCCCTTCCTCTCCTGTCACTGCCCTGTCACTCCCTGTCACTCCCTGTCACTCCCTGTCACTAACTGACTCCCTGCCATCGCCCTGTCCCTCCCCTGTCACTCCCTGTCCTCTCCTGTCACTCCCTGTCACCTCCCTGTCCCTATCTCCCTGTCACTCCCTGTCAACTCTCCCTGTCATCTCCCTGTCCTCTCCCTGTCACTTCCCTGCACTCTCCATCCTGTCCATCCTTCCCTTCCCTGGACTCTCCCTGGCACTCTCCTGTCATCTCCCTGCACTTCTCCCTGTCAATCCTGCCTCGTCCTGTCACCTCTGCACTGTCACTCCCTTCCTCTCCTGTCACTCCCTGTCACTCCCTGTCACTCCCTGTCACTCCCTGTCACTCCCTGTCACTCCCTGCCTCTCCCTGCCCTCTCCCTGTCACTCCCTGCCCTCTCCATGCCTCCCCCTGTCACTCCCTGTCACCGTTTCTGCTTGTCTTTCCCGATGTGTGCCTGTCACTTTCTCCCTGCCTTTGTCTCTCTCTCCATCTGTCTCGTGATTTCCCTGTCTCTACTCACATCTGTCGTGGCGCGACTCGCTATCACCCCCTCATCATCCCTCGTCTGTTGAATCTCTCCATTCTCTTTTCATCATCTGTCTCCGTAATTCACTCCCCCCCCCCCCCCGCTCTCTCCTCCTCCCCCACGGCCCGTTACCCCGATCCGCTCTCCCTCTCAGCACCCTTCACCTTCCTGTCCCCCGTGCCGCGCTGGGTGATCCCCGCCATTCCTCGGGGATCGGCGACTTCCTCGGACCCAGGTCCCAGGGCCCAGGCCGGAGCCGGGGGGAGTGCGGTGGGCCCCGTGGGGGGTGCGGTGGGCCCCGTGGGGGGTGCGGTGGTCCCCGGGGGGGGTGCTGCGGTGCCCGCCGTGTCCCCGCCGTTCCCGCGGGACCGTTGTGCGAAGCGGCTCCGCAGGAACCGGACGGTGTTCACCGAGTCGCAGCTCGCGTGCCTCGAGACCAAGTTCGAGAAGCAGAAGTACCTCTCCACGCCCGACAGGTGAGTCGGAGCGCGTGTGGTGGCGGTGAACATTTTTTTTTAACACAATTGCTTAACACGTTGCCAAAAGGACAAAAAAAATGCTCAACGGCTCGGGACAAATAGCAGCATTGAAAGATGAAATTGGTGAGAGTTGATACGTTTCTTGAGTTCAGCAGGGGTTAAACTGGTGGTTCTCAACGGGGGGGGGGGACGCGGACCCCAGGTGGTACGTAGCCACGTGACCGGGGGTACGTGAAGTGATTTATAAACGTGTGAAATTCTATCATTGGTGAATGAATGTGCCAATATCAAATAACAACACTAACATTTAGACCCAGTTTAACACGTAGGCTTTCGCGAGCAATGTTATTCATAATAAAGGTGTTTGGGTCCGATCGCGTCTTTTTATAAATGTGTCGTAAGCCTCCACTACCCGACACGGCCAAACGGTAAAAAATGTCACGTTTACAAAAGACAAATAGTTCACTAGTTTAGCTCCACCTGTGTGTTGAAGAGTGAATCAACATCATTTACAATTTTGAGTACGACGTTTTCGCTGGTAATTACAATCCAGCGTCATCGGGCAATTTTCCACAATGGTGAAGCCCTCCACTTGCTCCCGGTATTAAAATCCATTCAGTATCGAACCACACGCCCCCCCCCCCCCTTCTGCATAGCAGGCCAGAGGGAGATCACATCTCGTCACCGCGGCAAGACGAGTTTAGGGCGACAGCGACGACGGGATGATCATTCATTCTAGATTTGAAGCTTTCGTGACTGCAAGGATTCATATTCTTAGGGTTTTTTTCGGTAAAGTCACGTAGCTAAAAATTTTTAATTAATAAAAGTGGAACCGTCACAGCCACGACAGCTGTATCAAGTAAATGAGAGATTGCAAGAGTTACTACTCCGTATGCATAATGGTTGAAGACGGGAAGGGCCAAGTACGGCACACTTTTTTTTAAAAAATTGTGCCGTACTTGGCCCTTCCATTATATAGGGCAGAGCTTTGTGACGTCATATTTGAGGGGGGGGGGGTCTGACTATTTGTGACGCCATGTGACAAGGGGAGGGGGGGGGGTAAAAAAATCGTCCAAAATCGCGTGACGTCATTTATGGACGGCCCCTAAGCGAATATTCGAGCAGCATTTGCCGAATCGAGCTGCGATGAAACCGCCCGCGTGCCGTGCAGGACGCGCGTGGCGGGGGGGAGCCACTGGCACCAGCAAGGGGGGTGCACGAGATCACGGGGTACACGAGATCACGGGGTGCACGAGATCACGGGGTGCACGAGATCACGGGGTGCACGAGATCACGGGGGGGACGAGATCACGGGGTGCACGAGATCACGGGGTGCACGGGGTGCACGAGATCACGGGGTGCACGGGATCACGGGTCACGGCAAATGGCTCTTCTTGTAATGCGTTCCAGCGTGCGCCAGTTCTCGGAAGCATGATAACATCGGTTTTGTTTTGAATGGTTTTACGTTTTGGGCAAACCCTTTGATTAATTTGGCTGCTGTGTTACGATGGCGTAACGTCCCCAAATAGAGAGGCAATTCTTTACTCGGGTTTCGTTCATGCGCATTGTCTTTATGAGAGTTCACGTGTCCGCCATGTACCCCACCATCCGCGAGATAATGCACGAGTTAGAAATAGTCCCAATAACTGCCACAACAGTTGGAGTGTTGTTGTGGTGATTATTTTTATGAGTTGATGGTTGTGTTTGAGTGTTGTTGTGTTTGCGAGTATTGTTGTTTGGTGTTGTCGTGTCTCCCTACAGGATTGATTTGGCCGGATGTCTGGGCCTGACTCAACTTCAGGTGAAAACCTGGTACCAGAATCGGCGCATGAAATGGAAGAAAATTGTAAGGACTATTCCTTCATCATTTCACTGATAAAATCTCACCTTCGCATAACTGATTTCCTGTATACGTATTTACAGGAAGCTTGGTTATTGCCAAGATAGATATGTTAGCAAATGTTGGCATTGATAGAGACAGAATCCCGAGACCAGTGGGAAAATAGCACGCAGATCTTTACAGCGAAGCAATTTAATAGGGACAATTAATTAAGTGGAGATTGAATCGAGTACAGCACAGACTTCCAGGACTACAAATGAGGCCACAATCAGTGCGATGGCCGATGAATCCCGCGTTTTAATCCACAGTTTGTTCAATGGCAGGAAGTGTGGATGCTATCATGGTCCTCGTTACACGGTGGTGGATCAGACAGATGTGCGGGGCTGCATCACAGCCAGCCGTGTCGGTGATCAACACGCAACTGGGGTACATCTTGACTGCTCATAAAAGTACCGGCAGATATCTTCTGATCCCTCGCTTAATATCCCCAGGAAGGGCAACTCCTCGGACAGGAATTAATCTTCCAGTGAGACGCGATGATCCTTAAGCACACAGCAGGCGTGATGACACAATGTCTGGCGAGTGTACAGGCCGAATAAACACTCGCAGCCACGGCTTGGCATGCACCAAGTCTAGACATGAGGCTGTTTGGAGCTAGCGAGTGTGTAGCTGAACGAGTGAGTTCGTTTCTCGTCCTTCCTCCACACGTCCGATAACACTGTGTAACAAAAAAAACGATGTTTGTTCCTGGGTAGTAAGTGAAATTTCCTAATTGCTAATGCCTCAAAAGTACAGAAAATGGCTATTATTTCCCACAAACTTTGCTTTTGTGACCAGGACATTGTTATTTAGAAGTTTACCTATTTTAACATAAAGTCCTGGTCACAAAAGCAATTTTTGTGGGGAATCATAGCCATTTTATGTACTTTTTAGGCATAAGCAATAAAACATAACACTTAGTACCCAGGAAAACAAATTGTGTTAGTGAGTGTTACCATGGTTGACTACGTACGGTGCGAAAGAAGTTCAACATTCAGTACATCCATGCATGCATAAGTGGTCGCGCAACTGGGCTCGCAATCTGCCGAGGGATTCCTTGAGTGAGTCTCCCCTTCGTGTGCCTCTACAGGTGGTAGGCAGCGGCTTGCTTTCCCCCACGAAGCCCAAGGGTCGACCCCGTAAGGACTCAATTCCGTCCAGCCGAGACCTGGAGCAGCTGGAGAGGTTGCAGCAGATGGAGCAGGAGGTGGAGCTCAGCTCTCCCCTCCTCCCCAGCCCAACGCCCACGGACCAAAGCCATCCCAGCTCTCCATCTCCTGACGCAGCCGCAGCAGCAGCAGCAGCAGCATCATCTCCTGCTGCATCGACATCACTCTCCGGAGATGTGTCCTCAGTTGCGTCTCAAGCTTCTTCAACTGCGTCGTCTCCTGGAGCCAGGGAGCCTGGTGCTGCTGCTGCTGCTGGTGGTGCTACTTCTCCCGCTGCAGCCTCAACTCCAGCCACAAATCCGACTCTGTCATCACCAGCTTCAGCCACATGCGACGACGACGCCTCGAGGGGAGGGGCGCTGCCATGTCGAGCCGCAGTCGTGACCACCAGGGCAGTTGCTCGCGCTCCAGGCTCTTCAGCGGCACCCGAGCGGGCAGCAGCAGCGTCTAGCTTAGGGCAGCAGCGTTGTCTACTGCGGGAGTAACCACATCTACCAACGGGGCCGCATTGATTAGAAGGGACAAAGACAAAGATTCCCTGTATAGCCGAACAGACTGTTGGGGCAAGTGCTTTTTGCGAGCGCCCTTTGAAGGCTAAAACGGTGCACGAGGGGGTGGGTGGCCAGCAACACGCCCGGTCGTCTTTGTTTCCCTAGTGGCGATGATTTTACACGCCGCACCAGATACTCATTTGAGGCCGAGTGGATCTAGCGGAGGCCCAGGACCGGTTCAGATAATCGTCACTGGCGTTGGCGGTGAGAGGAAATCGAACTCGGGTTGCCGGGTTCGTAGCGCAGCGCGCTAGCCGCTACACTACCACTTCCCACATTTCATTACGTCTCCCCCTTTTACGTCATTTGGCAAATAAGTCGTCACTTTATTAAGACCACTACCTGGTTTGCGTCGCCTAAACCCACACTTACGTTGCTGACGCCATCCGTCCTGTCTGTTATCCGTCGCCTCTCAGCCTTCGCATTCTCCTACCCTGTTATCGTTTCGATTGACGTCGTTTCCATACTCGTCGTCGCACCTTTCAGGAACGCATCCCCGACGTTATTCGGGGTTTGCCTGTATATATTTATAGATTTCTCACATTGTATTTCACCACATTTTAAACGATGTTTTTTTTCCCTACCCTGGTACTTATTTTTCATGTTACGTATATTCTGCCGTTCAGACACAAATCGTGTTGATGATTGTATAACATGTGATGTAGGGAGCAGAGGCGCTGCAGTTCACGCACTGCACTAGCAAACCCAGCACATTGAGTTTGACTCCTGGCCAAGGCTAATCTAAGTGGCGAGTGAGATCTGAACCGTTCGCGGGCCCTCCCATAAGTCGAGGCAGCCTTTTAAAACGAGTACCCGGTCGGGTGTGTAAACATCAGCACGTCCCACACCGTCCCAGCCTTCGTATGGTGCTCGCTAACAGCACTTGCTCCAAGTCTGTTAAAGGCTATCTGGGGGATCTTTGTGTTTTTTGTCACGTGCGACGTGGAGGGGAGCGCTCCCTCGATTTAAGAGAGCGATATTGTGTATGTAACACTTTATGTGCGTGTGGGTAAAATCGGGAGTACTTCATTGTACACCTTCGCTCTCTATACCGTCACGTGGCGCGTGCTTTGTAATCATCGCAGACCCGTAGCTCGCGTTGGCTTGGTTTGCATTTGAACCGACACGGTTGGTCAGGCACGAGTAGGTGGACGGACCGTGGTTGAGGTCGCCAGGACCGTGGGTGCTATGCGGGGAAACCCCGGGCCAATTGGTCTCGGCGGCATGGCGTGGCGCCGCTGGTGATGAGAGGGGAACATCGGTAAATCACCCCCCCCCCCCACCCCCCCGTGGATAATGCCTGCAGGCAGAGCCAGTCTGGGCGTCGCCCCCCACACAGCCGTCCGCAGTGTGAAGAATGGATGAATAATCATTCACGAGTTGGGCTGGCGCACAGTTTAGCAGAACCGTCGCCTAATTATTGCTTTTACTCACGATGGGCAAACGCGTTCAGGAGCTAAATGCCAACGTTGAGGTCGCCTCTGCAGGGGAAGCGTGCTGCAGTAGCAGAGACGAGACCGAGAGAGAGAGTTCTAGTTTCTGCGTTTCCTCTGTTAAAGGAGCGCCGACAGCAGTTGTTCACTATACGGGAGCATAGTTTGGGTCGCATGGCCACCATCGCACCGCTTGTGTCTTGAATGTTCCATTGCTGTGGTTGTCCCACCTGATGACGATTACTTGTGTTGCGATCGAAACGTCGTGATCTATTAATTTTCTACCGACGTGACTTTACCGAAAGAACTAAAGGGTATGGATTCCTGCAGTCACGAAAGCTTCAAATCAACAATTACTCAGTTTCACAGGTAGTCAGTCGGCTTTCGCGACCAATACCCATCGTACAGGTGTTTTTTTTTCCGTGCTAAATCGTGTAAATATTTATTTGCGACGCGTGTGTGTTTATTTACGCGATCTAACCCAACAAAACTGTATTGTGAACAATCGCTCGCCAATACGTTCTTCAATATAGCACTGCCTAAAAACTGGGCACCAACACATGTATCGTAGGTCACAGATGAAGAAGACAAGTGGCCTTCGTCATAGCGCATCGGTCGGGGCAACGTTTCATTCGAGTCTGTCGGGCTACATTGTCGGACGCAGAAGATCGGCGGGCAGCAACAGCATTCGTTGTATTGCACCGTCATAGCGCATCGGTCGGGGCAACGTTTAATTCGAGTCTGTCGGGCTACTTTGTCGGACGCAGAAGACCGGCGGGCAGCAACAGCATTCGTTGTATTGCACTTCTGTACTCTCCGACGTCACCAATGCGCACTGACGATGCGTGGTGAAGTATGGTCAAACAACCCCCACGACCCGAATGGCGTGGGGAAGCGCCCCCCCCCCCCCCCCCCCCCCATCCATGAGTGGATACACGTCGGTACCAGAAACGTTTCGTTTCAGAGCGCAGAGAGCAGGGAGCGACGAACGGTTACAATCGTTCTGTCTTCCTCTTTGTGCTGCGGGCTCATCGTTGCCCAAAACGTCGGCCTATTCTACAGCGTCCGTCTCTAAAGCGGGGCTTGGAGATGGACGGGGTGAGATCTCACCCCAGCGGGAACCCCCCCCCCCCCGGGTGGCGGGCCCCCCTCTCCGCACGCGCCGAGAAGAGCGGCGCGCGGAGATGACTTTAATGAAACCCACGTGCCTTATTCTAAAGTATAACGTGTGTGTATATATATGCATAATTATTGTGCAGTTACTGGTGGCCTTGTGGGCTACCAGGCGACGTGACAATCCTCCACCAACTCGCTGTGTGCCGCGTCCTGGCGGATTGCGGGCAGCAAAATGTATAAACACATAATCACAGAGGTCTATTTTAGCGCCAATAGTAACTTCAACAAAATTCAGTCCGCTTACCAAGAGCACGGTACAACTGCACGGGCCCAACCAGAGTGGAGGGTCGCCTAAGCGCCAGATTGTGAAGAGGACACAAATTTGGACACGGGGTGCCATGCCACTCACGCTGCGTCGCTGTTCTGGACCACATGTTTGTCCAACACACTGACCTTGAATGTGTGCCCCATGGTGATCACGGAGGACTCTTGCCGAGGCAGAATACGCAACGCGGAGGCATTTGTTCAACTGGTCACTCCCTGCGGATGAGACGCGTAGAAGAATATTCTTAGGTTTTTTCGGTAAAGTCACGTACTGTGCTGTGACGGTTCCACCTGAAGACGGAAGCTTGTGTTGCCTCCGAAAAGTCGTGATTTTTATTTTATTTTTATTTTACTTTTATTAATTTTATTTTTTTACCTACGTGACTTTACCGAAAAAACCTAAGAATATGAATCCTTGCAGTCACGAAAGCTTCAAATCTCGAACTCGTAGAAGAAGTTAAAACCAGTCCAGAGGGTGGGTGTTTGCTTAAATGTTGCTGCTGAACAACACTTGTCGAGAAAGGCATAGGGTGATGGAATAAAACGCGAGTTTATTTTTGTAGGCGATGAAACATACTCTTGTCTGTTATACTGACAACTTTGTATGAGTATATACAGTACGTGTATTGAGTATGGCAGTGATGCAGACTACTAATTCTTTGAGGGTTGGGTGGATCGTATGGAAAGGGGGACATCATCGCCATGCAGGGCCAGGGTGGTTTCTGTCTCTTGGATGCAGCCGGCGTGTTAAAATATCTGCGTGAAGTGATGGTTGAGCGATCTCCGCTCATGTGTGGACAGCTCCGGGCAGTCTGGTTTCCTCCTACGAAAAGAAAAGAAACTTAAATAAGTAATATAAAAATAACTTTTTTAAAACACGCTTTTATGAAATGTACTAGTAATGGAAGAACTCCACGACTCCAAGAAATGGCCCCGAAGCTTTCCATAACGTAAAGGTGCCGTGGCCAATTACAGGCAACGTCAGTTGACCGTGGATAATTAGACCCAAACCGAAACATAACATATAAAATGAATGCTTAAAAAAAATTGATATAATATAGTATTGTCATCAGTATGACATAAGTATACCAAGTTTGCAGTCGATACCACATTGGGAAGTGGGTTAAAATTGAGTTACAAGATTTGAGGATACAACAACAACAGATAGTGAGTTGAATGAAAGCGTGTAATAATAATAAGAAAAATAAAAAATGGGCCACTTCCTAGTATGGGGCCCTCCTGAACACGAGTCTTGAGTCTCGGTAAAGCTCTCCGAGATGAGACATGCACCATGCACCAGCGTGCGTGTCGGGAATGGTGACGCAGTGATTTTTGTCTAATTCGTTACGCACCAGCAATTACAGGGTTACATTCCCTACAACGCAGAACATCGGAGATAAAATAGTGTCTGAAACTGCCCTGAGCATATCCTAGATCGACTCGGCCTTAAATGAGTACTTGGTTTGGGGTACAAAGGCAGCCGGAAGTGGCTCGGTCGCAAGACCTCCACGTGCTTCGTGTGCCGCCTGTAATCGGCGCTCGCTATCAGCGGTGCACCCTTGAGGCTACGAGGATGGCGGGAAAAAGATCTTTGTCTCGTTTTGGTACTTGACGAGGAGGCGTTTTATCAGCGCATTGAGTAAAGCAACATAATTGTCACCATCATCGCAATAAATAGGCCATAACCATCATTATGATAATAGCCATCAATTCTAGATTTGAAGCTTTCGTGACTGCAAGGATTCATATTCTTAGGTTTTTTTTCGGTAAAGTCACGTAGCCATCAGTCGTAAAACAATCATCGTATTCATCCTCGCTAATCAAATCATCATCACCATCACCACCCCCAATCGGAATGACTCTGCTCCTGAGACCGATTAAAGCGATCACCACGGTGTTGTGCTCGACATTAGTTGCTGGTGTTGTTCTGTCCCCATGCTGTGGACAGCGTCACGGGAGAGGCCGCCACGCGTGCCCCTAACTTGACCCCACCAACACGAGCATCCTGCCCGGCAGGCGGCTAAACCATCAGACCCGTTCCTCCTCCACCATCACCACCGCCGCTTGGTCAGTGAAATGAGAGCTGAAGCCACCTGCCACGCAAAACAATCGTCAAATGTGTACACGACGAGCCAACTCAACGTAACAGATCATTATCGTTGGCATTAGCCGAGCTGATGGGCACCGTGGTGTCGGTGTGAGCACTGCACGTGCGGTGTATGGATCTCGGAGGCAGACATCGTAGCCTCTGAACATTGGTGACCAGAACTCCACCGATGAGTCCCAATAAGGACAACACCAGCCCCGCATGTTGCCTCGCGCCGTGTCACCTCTGCCTGTCAGTCAGTCTGTCTGTCATCATGTGCTTTACATTTACTGTGATGGTGACCTCAGACAAGAGGCGACCACGAAGCACTTACGCAGGAATTAGCTGATGGTTTTTCGCGTACTGCACAAAGTCTGAACGCTTTGCGTGCGTCTTTGTCTCGGGACGACCGTGACTCGACTATCAAGCGATCTTCTCGGAAACACGTTTGTGATGTCTTTGCTCGTGTGTGCGTGCACATCTGTGCGAGAGCTGTCTGTTGATGACTGGCGGCCGCAACTTGTGTGGATCCGACCCGGAGGCGATGTACTTCGAGGCCTCGCGAGGAGACGCCACGCCGTCGATTGAACTTTGAAGACGGCGTTACTGAAAATAGCCAAGTAATCGATACGATTCGGTCTCCGCGTAGCCAAAGTAGATATTGTAACCCGTCAGCCAAGTGGCCTCATGGGCCAAATGCATGATCTCGCAGAGTCTTATTCTCTGGTTCTTTCGGTAAAGTCACGTATAAAAGATAAAATAATAAATTAAATAATTTTATTCAATAACAGCATACATACATGTATGCTGTTATTTAATTTATTATTTTATCTTTATACGTGACTTTACCGAAGTATGCTATGTTTAATTTATTATTTTATCTTTATACGTGACTTTGCAGGATTATTCTTTGGTTCTTTCGGTAGTCACGAAAGCTCCAAAATTAAATAATCTAATTAAATAATAGCATACATACATGCATGCTGTTATTTAATTTATTACTTTATCTTTATACGTGACCTTACCGAAGTATGCTAGTATTTAATTTATTATATTATCTTTATACGTGACTCTACCGAAAGAGCCAAAGAATAATTCCTGCAGTCACGAAAGCTCCAAATTTAAGATCTCGCAGAGTCTGTTCTGGCAGGGAATCTCTGGACTGAACTCGACTTGTGAGCGGCCCGTCCTGTTTGAGCGATGCTGCTGGTGTTTTCCAGCTGTCACGAAGGGTCCCACCGCGTTCAGCGTAAAGTTGTGCCGCACACTCGTGATGCGTCGTCGTGGGCGGCGGTGTCGTCGTCGTGGTGGTGGTGGGGGGGGGAGGATTATTCGATGACATGGAATCGAGGCGACTGAAGCTTGCGCGTCTCTTTTATTGCGAGCCAGCGAGAGGCTCCCGTTGTTGAGTCGAGTTTACATTAAAACCTATCCCTCACGGGCCCCGGTGCCTCACGTGTTGTGGTGTGTTACTGTGCGTGTGTAACTGTGTGTGTGTGTTACTGTGTGTGTGATACTGCGTGTGCGTGTGTTACTGTGTGTGTGTTACTGTGTGTGTGTGTTACTGCGTGTGTAACTGTGTGTGCGTGTGTGTTACTGTGTGTGTGTGTAACTGTGTGTGTAACTGTGTGTGTTACTGTGTGTGCGTGTGTAACTGTGTGTGTTACTGTGTGTGTGTGTGTTACTGTGTGTGTGTGTTACTGCGTGTGTTAATGTGTGTGCGTGTGTGTTACTGTGTGTGTGTAACTGTGTGTGTTACTGTGTGTGTGTTACTGAGTGTGCGTGTGTAACTGTGTGTGTGTTACTGTGTGTGTGTAACTGTGTGTGTTACTGTGTGTGTGTTACTGAGTGTGCGTGTGTAACTGTGTGTGTGTGTGTGTTACTGTGTGTGTGTAACTGTGTGTGTTACTGAGTGGGGAGCGGTAGTGTAGCGGTTAGCGCGCTGCGCTATGAACCTGGCGACCCGGGTTCGATTCCCGCTCACGGCTAACACCAGTGACGATTATCTGAACCGGTCCTGGGCCTCCCCTAGGTCGACTCAGCCTTAAATGAGTACCTGGTGCGGTGTGTAAACATCGCCACTAGGGAGACAAAGGCGGTCGGGCGTGGTGCTGACCACCCACCCCCTCGTGTACCGTTCCGGCCTTCATAGGTGCTCGCTAACAGCACTTGCCCCTACAGTCTGTTCAGGCTATACGGGGGATCTTTATCTTTGTGTGTAACTGTGTGTGCGTGTGTTACTGTGTGTGTGTGTGTTACTGTGTGTGCACTACGAACCTGGCGACCGGGTTCGATTCCCGCTCACGGCAAACACCAGTGACGATTATCTGAACCGGTCTTGGGCCTCCCCTAGGTCGACTCAGCCTCAAATGAGTACCTGGTGCGGTGTGTA